TCTCTTGTTTACCAGGGGCTGGAGCCTGCCCAGAGCACCCGACTGCACACACAGGCATCATCTGGCAGAAAAACATGATGGAAAATGAACATTTACCATTGGTTAGTATGCTTTAAGTTCTGTGTGGGCAAATTCAGTCCTGACAGAACATGTTGAGAGTGATAGCCCTGGTTTTTCAAACTTCTCTGTAGAAGAGACCTTAGAGCACAATGTGAAAGCAGAGGTTGTTATATATTCACAGGTTGTTGCAGTGCCATTCTGTGGGGAGATGGGCCTTCAGTTTCCATTCAGACTTATCATGCTCCTCTGAGGATACAGCAAGGGAGCCAATTAGCACTAACGATGGCAGAGGTGATTTAGTGATATGGACACTTGTGTATAGGAAAACAACGGGTGTTGTCAGATCAGCGGAATAAAATATCATTCCTGGAGAAGCCCAGTCATGCCAGTTAGCTAGGGGCATCGAGTGTCCAGAGAGACGAACTGCAGATCCTGACCTAGATTTAGAATTATGAGCTTTCTTTTTTTTTTTTTTAATTTTGCTCATTACTCTACTGTACTGCCCTTATCCTGCAAAGCATTGAGGTATACACATAATTCAAAGCACATCCACACTCTGTTCTTCATACACTTAAAATCACAGATGTGCTTATCTGAATTACTAGATGAAAGACCAGGAGCATTACGTGGTTACCTCAAGCACCTGAAACTCTCCTGGTCACACATCCCACAAGATACTGATAGAAGTAACATTGAAGCCATTCATAATCCTTTGGGGACTAAATGATATGATGGCAACTTCATAGCCGCTCTGCACAGATAAATGCATATACAAATATTAAATACCTCAGTAATTCCCAAATACATGCCTACACAGATTGCCCTCTCTATCTCTTCAGCTTTTCCTATGTCAGTTTGAATCACTGATATCTTATGGATGCAGAAGAATTCTGGGCAGGGGGAAAGGAAGGAATAAAGACTTGCAATTTTTAACTTTTGCAGTTCCTAGAACAATTTGTCTCATCTTTCTCTCTTCTCTGCCTTTCCTTTCACTTTTAAATCCTTCACCCCTGTATGAATTTCCAGTAGATGCTCCAAGAGCTCATGTTTTCTCTCCGCTTTAGGCTGCTAACAGATTTTCTGCATAGACTGTCTCTTCTATCTGCAATTCCAAAAAGAAATGTCAGTTCTTTCGCAGTCCCACACTGGCGCTCACAGGTACACATCTACTTGCAGCATGACTCTGCAAAATTACCTGTATGCCTCATTAAAACACCCTAGAAACTCCCAAAACCAGCACTGGAGTCTGCAACTATAGGTTCTGAAACTGCTTAAGACTCTGGAAGATGCCAGACTCATGAAGAATTTATGAAATAAAATAAATTGGAGTCTATGCGTAAGGGTCTGTGCCTGGCCAACAAGCAATCTCCTTTCTAGCCCACAATTGCAAGACCAGATATCTTTAATTCACACTTGCTTCAGGAGTACTCAGCAGGACCAGGCCATTAGTTAGTACATTTTCAAGGAGTGATTCTGTCTGATTAAACGCCTTATAAGATAGGCATCTTTTAGGGTATCTTCTTAGATGTCCTTAATAGATAAGAAGAATTACATTCATTCATTATGGAAGTACATTTTGCACCCAACCCAAGAAGAACACAATTTATCAGAACTGAGCACGCAAACAGAATGGCTATACACAGAGAGAAGAACAACAAAAATCATAGCTGAGAGCTGTAGAGCTCCCCCCATCTGTTGTGAAATGCTAATTTTTTTAAAGACTAGAAATGAGTGCAGGAAGGTCTCTGAGCTTTGGGCTAGAGAAGCTGAATACATGAAGGATCGTATCTCTTTATTCACTTAATTTCTCTGGTTTCTTTGAAGTCATTGTGAAAGATTTGGATATACTGAGATGTAACTGGTTTGCTCAATGTTTCCCACAGAAAAATCTATTCACTAGACAATGAATTGTATTTTATCCTTCCTGCCTGTTTAAAGATACTCTGTTATAGAGCATCTGTACTTAATAGGGCTGTGACATCTCAGCCGTATCAGAAAAATTTAATTCAGAGTTCACAATATAAATGCAACTACTTTGCTTTCAATGTGACTATCAAAGAAGCTGGGAAATGGAGGTGTGGTTTTGTTTCTTTAGAGGGCATGAGGAATTCTTAGAAGGGTTTTATATACTACAGCTTTTTAGATTAAAATTGTTTCATGTAATTTTCGTTAGGCATTCAGAGTTACCAGCAATTGGCTCCCTTGTTTCCTTTCTTTACTAGGGAAATCCAGGACTGCGGTACAACAGAAGACTGTATTGACTCAAATAATAGCAAAATTATGGTATTATGAGAGTCAAGAGACTGACTGGGGGGAAAGATGGAGAGTGTCAAACTGGTCTGGTTATATTCATTTAAGTTTATTCACTATTGGGCATTGCAGATGAAAAAGAACGGTTTTGCTGAACATTCAGCATCGCTGTCTTCAAAGGAGCTGCTGCAGCTGCAGACATGTCATGTTCACCAAGCACACTAAATTTCCTCCAGCAAAATCAGGAACACCAAAACCAACATTGTGGCTGCTTCATGCTTGGAAAAAGTAATGAAAAGGAAAAAAAAAAAGCCTACTTTTCTTGGGGTTTTGTATTACTATTGGCAAATACTATCATTTTCCCAGCCTTTCTCAAAATACTCTGAAATTGATACCCAGAAAGGGAAAGGAACTGGAGTTCACAAAGTCTTTCATGGGATTAACTTTTAACAAATGCCAGCTTTGGCAAAGCAGGGCAACACAGACCCCAGAGCATGTGCCATGCCCAGCCCAGGATGCTGCAGTGATCCCTTGCCTCATCATCTCCTGCTGTACAAGTCCTGCCTGTCCCCATCCTTCATCCTGAAGGCATCAGGGATGCAGGAGTTTTATGCCAGAGCTAGAATCCAGTACGCCTTCCCTCCTGGGCAGTTTGTCCAGCAGCAACAAAATGGAACAACTGGGAAGAGCGATCAGCATTTTCAACTATTATATTTACAGCAAATTCCAAATTCCTTTCCTCCACCAAAAGAAAGGAAAACTTTGGCTAAACTAAGATAACTAACCTTATCAGATTTTTTTCCCTCTGAGAAAAAAAGTTACTTCCTAAATCTGCTTTGCAGCTCAAAGCAGGCAGCAACAATGTGCCAGAAGAAGCTGGGCGGTGAGGGCACAGAAACTGTCAGGAGCTCGAGAGGAGAATGAGTGATGCTGGTCACGGGAGGGATGGGGCAAACCTACATGAAGAGCTAGGGGCAGCACGGGATGAGCAGAGGCAGCAGCATGTTTGGATGGGTACAAAGCTGAGAGTGAGGCACACTTGGAAGGACAGTTTGGGCTCAGAGGTGGCAGCCCAGTTTTGAGGGAGAAGCACACAGAATGGGTGCCAGGGCCCTGAGAGACACCAGAAACAAAAAAGACCCCTTACAACACCCAACCCTTTCATCCAGCTCACTGTCAGGCTCCGCTGCCTATTGCAAGGACACCCCACACACCCTGAAGCGAGAGCACGTGCAGTCCAGGTGCACGCACGACTCCTGAGCTGATTCCCAAAGGGAAGGAAGCTTCGGGAGCAAGGCTGTTTCTAGCCTGTTGAGCCCGAAGGGAAAGACCCACGAGCTCTGCAAAGCACTGAGCATCACCATTCGGCCACAGATCCCACAGCCCCATTCTCCCCACTGCAAGGGCACCGGGTGCCGAGCCCACTCTAAAGGACGTTTCGTCATAACTCATAATGAGGTCGACTTCTCTCACGCAGCGTTTCCATAGCAACAGAGAGGCGATTCTAATCTCCAACATAAAAGACGCAGCGAAAATGACACGGTTTGAAGTTTGGGGGGTTTTTGAGGGGAGAAGCAAGGCTGGCGCTGCAGCCGCAAGCGGCCCTCCCTGGGCTGCAGCATCCCCCGGCCGGCAGCCCCCGGCAGCGGTGTGTGTCCAGCACCACCACGCGGCCCCAGCCGCACCCGCACCGGGCAGGGGGTGAGAGCCGGGGCACAGCGAGCCCAGGAACCGGGGTGTCGGCCCCCACCCCGAGATCATAGAAGCAGCTGGGTTGGAAAGGACCATCTGCCAACAAGGCTCTCGGCTGCCGCAGCACCGAGGCTGCCGCTGCACGGATTATCCAGGTTTTTAGAGCAGAGGGAGGTAGAAGTGGGATCAGGCTTTAAACCGGTGGGATGCAATGGGAAGGGGTGATTGCTTTCCTCTGCCTCCAGGTCCTGATAGGGAAGTGGAAAGTACAGCCCAAGACGCACATGCAGACCGGGAAATTAATTCAGCAGTATAGGCCTGGGAGGAGAGCAGTCATCCCACATGGCTGCTGCCAGGTACAAGGGTGATGAGAAGCACAATGGTTATTATTCCCTCTCTCCTGGCAAGCAGCACAAGCCAATATCCTAATTCATGGTGTGTTATTTGCAATTGCTTAGCAGTGCTATCAAGCACCAAACATTCCTTCCTCAGCCCTACCATGACAGACAGAGCAGAGGGGAAAATACGCTGTGCTTCATTCACTGCAGTCTGAAGCAGTCCCCCAGAAAAAAAGAGCAGAATGTAAAAGAAGTAGACCAGCACATAAAAGAGCAAAGCACACGGCTTGGAGCAGGGCTCCTAGGCAGTCTGTTAATATAAGGAGTAGAAGTATATATAAGCAGTTGCTCCAGAAACGGCACTTGATTATGCTAGATGAATACCAATACTTGCACTGTGGTTCTAATATCACTTCAGGGGCTCACTAACACTGGTACCTGTGAAAAATAAGACTTGCATTTTCTCTGGCCACTTCCTGGAATAATATATCTTGTCTTCCTGGTTGTGACACTAACACTGATATATCATCTCAGCCCTTTATTTAGGCCTGCAAAAGGTCTACTCAGATCCCACGTCAGGGTAGACAGAACCCCAAGAGCAGACTTTGCATTCACAGCACCATTCTTCAAAACAAACCAAAATATCCACACAATGCTTTCAGGATTTTTATTTCTGAGTAGTTTATTTATTTTATTAGAAATTACAAAGAAACTCTCTCCAGGAGAGCAAGGAAAAAACCCAACCCTGAAATATTAGGAAGCAATTTTGTTCCATATAAACACAAGCAAAGTTACATATTTCGTTCACATGCATGTACAAAAACATTTTAAGTAAAACATCCTTCACACATAACACCTGCATTAGTCTCAGAACTGAGCACATAATCAGATTGGCCTCACCTCCCCTACCTAATCTTATTTTCCTGTTTTCTTTTTAAATTGTAAATTTCTATGCAGCAAACATCTCTTTTTCTGCACATCATTATGAATATTGAAATTAGCATGGATGGCCTCAGAATTAAATCACTAGGTAGCACAGTCTGACACAGAGCTGTGTACTACAGTTGTTACACTGCCATTTATACAGAGAACTTTGTTGGATACCAGGCAAAACTCTTCAAAAGGAATAAAAAGGTATTGCTAGAGGGAAAAAGGAATATGATGCACAGTGCTCTCTCAACTACAATTCTGTATGATTCCTATGCAAAACACTTCAAAAGCCAAGTAATTCACAGATCTTGCTCTCCAAATTGATATCAAAGTTCCCACCAATTTCAATCATGGCAAACTAAATCACTAAAAGACATCAGTGCTACTGGATATGGACATGGTCAATACTCAATATTCCAATTTTTCATCCACCCACCTTTGGAAAGAGAATGGAGAAAAGATGAAAGAACTATCAAAAGTGCAGACTGCTGAAGCAGGTGGGTCAGCAGAGTGCTTTACCAGCGATCAGCAAAAAAACAACTGCAAGAGCAGAGCTTCATTCCAACCCACTGCATAATCTCACAGTGGCTTAAAATTTGGGGATTACATGGTCAATGAACACCTCACTAGTTTCCCGAGGCTGCATTAATACCCAGCAAAATCTTATTTGATTCATCAAAAGAGCATATTGTCTGTATCTGACTTTGTGAGCTGGATTTTAAATTTCACTATTTCATGCATGATGAACACTACTGTAAATCTAAAAACCATAAATGTTCAGAGGGGAAGGGCTCACCCAGAAGGTGAAGCTTCCACATGCATAAGAGGAAACTTCAAGCACACAAATGTCAGCAGCAACCCTTAGCACAGTGTGGGAACAGGAGGTACAGCTATTACTCTGCCTTCATTTTTAAGTATGTAAGCAATGCTGATGGATTTCTCACCTCTGCATAAACATGCATCCCAAAGAGAATCAATGACACTTCTTCCTTACACTGCAGTGACACAGTTGAATCAAAGGAGGGTGAATTTCCACTGTATTTAAATACACTTGAAGCACTCAGGCTTGGCTTGTTGCAGTGTGTGTTATAGGGTGAAACGGGTGTGGAAAAGGGACATGAAATGAAAAAAATCACAAAAGAAAGAACGAACATCTGCACATGAGAAATACAAAGAAAGCACTTAAGATTAACACTTAGGAGGTTTAACCAAAGTCCTGGAGAACACTAGATTTTCATTTTTAGCCCACTTGAAATCTTGCAAATGAGCAAGCGATGCTGGCAGCAGTCACTCTGTCATTCAGCTCCTGAAAATAGTGCAACAGACTTTGCATAAGTACCCTGGCCTCGAGAATACTTTAATACACCTGTTTGCAAAGCATCTACAGAGAAAAGCCCAATGACAGGTGTTCTCACACAGTATCAGGCACAAGGGCCAAATCAGGATGAGCTTCGAGACCCCAGCCTAGCACACTCTACACTCTGTGTGTTGTGGAGAACACTGGGTCTACTGGTTTAGCTGAGATGGGCAGCCTACTCTTAGCCCCTTACAGCCATTTGAATGGCAAACTCTGCTAAATGTGAAAAGAAAAGCAAAAGCACTGGCCTAGCAGGAGGAGGCCTCCTCTGATTCCCACACAGGAAGGGCTGAAGTCAGATCCCTTATGTCAGATATTGATGGTGTGGATGTCTTCAGCAGAGGTAGTCAAGTTGAACTCACTCTATGAGCACACAAAGGAAAAACAGACATTTCTAAAAATGCCATTCATTTGACCCGCTTTATATTTCTACTTCAAGGTCAAAAGAACAGTGACTTAAGAATGATTATTTCTCTTCAACTGCAACTGGAGCCCAGGGGAAAGAATTTAGATGTAGACATCTAAAGCTGAGAAGATACCACCTCAAATGCCATTCTTGTACCTGGGCAGCTGAACAGTAGAGTTGTGCTGTACTTCTTTGTGATCAGCAGTTTTGCTTAAAACCTGTATCATATAGGACTGTAACACTTCAGTGACCATCTAAACATTCTCCAGCCAGCAACAGTCCTACCAGAATTGAATAAAAGCTCATGACTCTCTCAAAACTCTCTGAACGATCACTGTGCCTTTTTTTGCATAGTAACTAAATCTCAAACATACTTCTGGCAAATATTACTATTCTTTTTTTACGGCTGAGAAAACAGGGACACTGCAGATTGCCTAATGGTGACTCAGGGGGAATCAAAATAAAGATTTCCTGGTATGTTCTTCTACTACTGACTAGGCTTAAAATAGTGAGAATTGTACACCCAGGAGAAAACTTTAAAACTGTGATGGACAATTTTAACTCCATTGTCCATAAAAGCCTGTGGTCACACATTCTTATTAGACATTGAGGAATTTTATGTTTGGCTTCCACTTCTATAAAGTGGAAAAGAAATACAGTTAGGAAAAAAGAATTAAGGCCAGGCATGTTATACAGAAACAAAAATACTATCCCTGAAGCTCATTCTTTCAAAAGATAAACCTGCAATTGTAAGGATAAACGGAAGGTTTGGTAAATTTCCCTCAAACATCTCAAGGGGTTACAGGTATAAAGCCAGTTTAAGTGGCTGTTCATTCTTGATTCACGTTCACTCCAGCCCTTTTGAGAGAGAGACACACTGAATCAAGTTAAAGACCGAGTTGATCAACTGAGGATTGTGCAGAACAAAAGAAATTCCATCAGTCAGCCGAGTTGTAAAAGCAAGCAGCAAAATAGATTCTGTTTCAGACTAAGTTGTCAAGATAACAACTTTGAATATGAAACCTCACCCAGTCAGAAGTTGCTGCACTCAAGCCAATGACAGCAAAGGAAAAGTTTGCATTGCCAGTATGGGCTCACACCAATACTAAAAGCTGCTTCATTCTCTCCAAAAAACCGCATCAGCTTCCCTGACTAAATGATCACGAAATCAGTTAGGGAATAAGCTCTGCTTGACTTGTTTCTAAGAAGGAAAAATTGGTGGAGAATGTGAAGGTCTTGGCTGCAGAAGACATGGAATTGTGGCATCTAAAATCCCAAGAAATGTTTACAAGACAGAGTCCTGTACCTTCAGGTCGACAAATTTTGGTTTACTCAAGGAATGTCTTGGCAGGATTTTATGAGGGCCTACCCTGGCTGCCCAAAGGAACCCAAGCGTGCTGCCTTACCTTCAAAGACAGCTTTCTCAAAGTAGAAAAACAGTCCTATCTGACAAGCAGAAATTAAAGCAGGCATGACAGAAGGCCAGCAAAGATGACCAGGGAACTCCTGACTGAGCTCAAACACAAACAAAAAGGTACAGAGAAGTGGAAATGAGGATGGGCTTGCCAGCAGGGATATAGAGACACAGCCCAAGTATGCAGGAACAATTAGGAAAGCCAAAGCTCAGCTGGAGTTGAAACTGGTAAGAGATGTGAAGTACACTGGAAGCAAAAGAAACCATAAGAAAATATGGGTTTACTGTTCAACAATGCAGGCAATACGGTGACAAAGGATGTTCTTTGTACTTTGTGGCTGATGTACACAACACCTTTTCTGTCTGTTTTTACTGATAAGTTTTGCCTTAAGGCCTGTCAGGTCCCCGGGCCTTCAGTCAGTGTGTGGTAATAAAGCTTTACCTATGGCAAGGAAGACTGAGTTAGCAAGAACTTAAGCCAGTTGGAACCAACAGGATTAATCTGAAGGCACTGAGTGAGCTGGCACTGAGACCATGCTACAGCATCTTTGCTAGGTCATCATAATCATCAGCAATGGCTCTCTAACTTAAAATACCCTACCTTAAGACTCTTTTGCCGCTCACAACAGTCAGCAAGCATGAGGGAAGCAAGCACATTGAGGGAAATTATTATTCCTCTTTATTCAGCACTTGTGAGACTGTGTCTGGGTCGCTGCATCCACTTTTGTGCTCCCCTTCACAAGGGCATTGCAGTAATTTCAGTGGAAGGCCACAGAACTGGTTAGGGAGCTGGAGCACAGGATGAGCAAGGAGAGCTCAGGGAACATGGTTTCTTCACACTTGAGATGAGAAAAGGCTAGAGAGAGATCTCATTGTATATAGTCACTTAATAGCTAGAGATATTAAGAGGTTAGAGAAGACAGTCAGACTCTTCTCAGAGATGAGCAATGATAGAACAAGAGGCAATGAAGACAAGCTGGAACATGGGAAATTCCAACTAGATGCAAGAATATTTTTTTTCTTACTATGAAGGTTGTCAAATGTGGAAAAATGTTACCCAAAGAGGTTCGGCATCACTATGCCTGTAGATACTCAAAACTCAAATGGACAAAGCCCTCAGCAACCTGCTCTAAATGGCTGTGCTCTGAGCAGGGGGGTGGAGTAGAAATATCATGAGGTACCTTCAAACCAAACTATTCAATGATTCTGTGACTTAGCGAACCTCCTCACAACTACTTTTCACTGGTACATTCCTCATTAATCTGCCAAAGCAAGCCATGCCACCGTCAAATGTAATGGGTGATCTTCTACCTCATGAGTCAGGATGGAGTACAGAAGCCAGCAAAGAGGGGAGATGAAGTGCACTACACATCAAACCTCTCACAGTAATTTTATGTTTGAGGTCCCCCATACACCAGGGCCAGCCCTGTGTTAGAATCATAGCCATCACAGTACTCTCCTAGTTCATTTCCAGTCTATTAAATACCATCAGGACTAAATAAAAAGAATGTTCCTTCTCACATCTTCTTCATCTTCTTTTTGCAGCGCTGGTTGAAGACAGGTGAGGATCCCATCAGACTGTCAGCAGAATGAGAACCGTAGCTGCTCTCAGAGCCATTGGGGCTTTGTGGCATCCCAGCTTCGCTCATGCCTGACATTGGTTCCTCAAAGACATCACTGCCTAGGACCCCATGGCCATGTACATTACCCTCCTCATTTTCCTGTGGTTCCATTTTCACCTGTGCCAAGTTCCAGAGTGGGGAAGCATTCACCTCAGGTCCTAGAAAAGGAAAAAGCACACGGTAATAACTAAGTAAAAAGATAAATCATAAACAGCATGCAGATACAAGGGACAGCAGCACTGATAAAGACGGAGCAAAAGCAAAGCCACGGGTGAACTAGGCTGGGGGGAAAACCAACAAAATGCAACAAGCACTGTGATTAATTTAAAAAAAAAAACCTATTGGCTTTTTTGTTCTAACAGCCCAGCAACTGCCACTCTAAAAAACATCCCATCCTTTCACTGCAAGCCTCCAGGTCATTTTCTCCATGAGAAACAACTTCATATGACTCTCCAGAAGGAGTACCTAAGCAGCAGTGAGTTCACCAACAGCACATGAACTAGACCCTGCATCAGCAGGACTTTGAGGCAGTCCAGAAGTCATTATGAGGTCCTTGCAACTGTCAGACATACTGGACTTCTGCAGGGGAGGTGAAGTGAGAGGGAAGAGGAGTAGGTAGATGAACAGTCTCAAATAGCATTTTCAGCACTGAAATGCAGGGACATCAGAGCTGCAGTCAGCCACCTGCCTGCCTCCTTGTACTCAACACCCACAGGTCTCATCCCATGCTTCAGCACAACAGAAAGAAATTCTCTTGGCTCAACCTCACAGACACACTCATGGGAAATAGCTCTCCCCCATCCACCTTTTTATAAAAAACTTTTGAACTAGTGTGCAACCTGAGCAGATTGAGGATTTTCTGTACAAGATAATGAAATCATATTTCTTGATAACAGCAAATGTTTTTCTCCCCAAGAGTAGCAATTACAGATTGCATTATTTCTCTTTATTTACAGTTTTAAGAGACACAAAAATTCTCTTAAAAATGCACTAATTGGGCTCCTTGCTGAGATGGGCATAAACAGCCCAAAATTGAACCATGAAATCTTCTCACTTTTAAATCTGGTCCCTCTTGTGTGGCATTAAATTCACATGAAAAATAAAATAAGTAAAAATAAAACTAAAAAGAAAAAAAAATTAAAAAAAAAAAAACCACCCAAACGTGCCAAGTAAAATAGGAAACCAGTTTTAATGAGTTTTACAAACCTTGTGTCTCAAGGAGCATGGCTAGAGTTTGAAAGCACAACCTAATCTCTTGTACTGAGCCAAACCCACTATTATTACCTATTATCAATACACTAGTAACAATAGTCCCTTATTAGTAGCAATTACACAGAGAAGAAATCTCCCAGCACGTCTGTACTGAGAACTCTCCTTTATGAAGAAGTCAGGAATCTTTTCCAGAGCAGCTAACCCAAAGCAGGGTTTATGAGACCTCTGTGGCAACACAACCCACATTAGCTCAGTTGCCTTAATGAAAAGTCCTTTTTATGTTAATCATAAGTAAATGCATCCCTCTCAACAACAATGGACACATCATTAAAACACTATCAGTTCCACAGGTACAGCTCCAGTCTAGACAATAATCAGAGATGCTCACTGAACTAAACTGTGTCTTTCCATCATCAATTGCTCTTACTCCATTCAGCCCTGTCACCTATCACTGAGAGTGTCACTAATGACTAAAAGTACTTAAGCATCAACACAGGATGTTTCATCTTCAAAGCACTTTAACTTCAAAGTACTTTACAAATAAGCTAATCCTCATGTTATCCTGATAGGTGGAGGAACAAAGTCCCCAATTTTGCATCCATTCTCCAACTGCAATGAAATTAAGCAACTAGCCCACAACTGCAACATCAGCCATAAGCAGAAACACAAAAAGAATGGGGAAGGCTGTAAGGAGAGTTTTGCCCTCAGACACTGAAGGCTTACTGACCTCTCTTTGGGCCTCACACCTGTATTTTTGAGAGGGTGGAGTCCTAATTGCAGCAGCTTTTTCTTGCTCTGTATGGTATTACACTCTCCAGCCTGCCCAGCCCTAGACTGGGACTTCTCACGGTGATGAGATTTCCAAAGGCTCTTATCAAGTGAAGAGGGATTTTCAGGAAGGAACAGAGCACTTGTATTCTTAATTAGAAAACATCAATTCGGTATCAGAGAGGCAAGAGGCATTTAATATACAGCTAGCATGCTAACCTCTGGGTCTCAAGTGGTAAATGCTAATACGAAACTTTCCAGATGATTCACTCACAATCCCAGATGAGCCAGAGGAGTCTGCTGTTCCCTCTCCCACAAAAATGCAAACAATTCACATATTGGAGGTGCTATGAAAAACAGTAGGAGCTTTCAGAAAAACATCAGATGGATTTGTGCTCTCTTAAAGCTCAGCACAATGTAAAAAATCTAATGGACTCAGAGGTATACTCTACCTCACTATATATGCTACTTAGTTTGGGGTTAAGAGGACAGGCTTCACTGTTTTTTAACCAGATTTTTAAGTGAAACAGTTATTATTGCAGGGATTTCCAGAGTTCAGAAGGTTCTATACCTTTCTTTGGAAGATGAATATCTTCTTCATTTCACAGGAAGTTTAGCTTTACTAAACATAGAACAGAATGAAACTTGTATATAGATATAGAAAAGGCACAGCAGCACCAGTGTGCTTCAATGCCAACATCAAGGAATTGCACTTTGAGGAAAAAAGTGCAGTCTCCATAACCCCGGTACATCACTCACCATTTCATTTTCCATGTCCTCAGCTAACCACAGCAGGCTTTGGGGTAGAGATGCTAGGAGGGGCTTCCATGAGCCAATTTCACGTAAGTCACTGATAAGTTTTCATAATACAATGATTGTCACTACCAGGGTGACTTCTGAACATGGAGAACAGCAGCAAGTATCATTTGTATTTCCAGAAGTCATTTGGTGCCTAAACTACCTTAGGAACATGACCTTCAACCTCTCAATAACATGAATCTCCGAATGTGAATCTAAAACTACCCAGAGGAAAGAAGATCACAAGGAATTGCTAATGGACTGTTTCCAGGAGCAACAAGAAATCCCTACCTGAAGTCTGCGGGGAAGCTTCTACTTCCAAGTTGGCTGAGAAGCGCTCACTTTGAGCTCCAAGGACTCCAACAGGCAAAGACTGGTCACCAGAAGCCAGATCTCCTTCCAACTCTTCACTTATGGGGAAAGTAATATCACTCACAGGTTCCTCCTTAATCTTCACAGGCTTTGTGTCCTCTGCTGCCTTTTCAGGGTTGACAATCTTCTCGTATTCTTCAGAGAGCTGCTTGCTAACCTGTCCAAGATCAGTGGGTGAAGAAGAGGCCAGAAAGGTGAGAATGACTTCAGAGACTCTGATGGCAATTACATTGCAGTGCACTCTGTTCCCAGAATGTTATTAACATCTGACCCAAACGAAAAAGTAAACAGCTTACTAGTTACACAGGAAAGATTTTTTTTTTCCTCTTTAAGTGCATCTTCTGTCCTGTGACAAGGGGCTTTAATAAGAGGTTTAATCCATTAACATCTGATTGACAAAGATTTCTCAGACAGAGATGATGAGGCCCAGAAATTTAAAAAGAGCAAGGAACAAAAGCAAAGTGTCTGTCTTATTCTTTGGTTTTACCTATAAGATTGTCCCCCATCCTCCAGTAACAAATTTACCCCAGCATTAAAAACCAAGCACTTCAGATCTTCGTCAGCTCTGTAGTCACCACTGGACAAAGCCTGAGTACCTTCTGACAAATTCACAGCAAAAAGCACAGAAGTTTTCTCCAGTTAAAGAAGTGGAACAAATACAGGAATGAGATTTAGAATTACCCTGTACTTCCAGAAAGTTAACAAGAGTAAGCAATTAATTTTAAAAATTTCAGATTTTATCTGCTTCTAACAAATGCTTGTTTATACAACTAAATCCCAACAGTCAATGAACTGTGCTCAGGAAAATCCCAAGGCTTTTTAACAACAGAAGCAAGCAGGAAAAAGAATAGCAAAGCCTATTTCCCCCTTCTAGATATGCTTCCAAATACAGAGGCTACTGTGGACCTCAACCCTCTATAAAGAACAAAACCACTAAGACAACAACTGGCTGCAGGATGAGAGAAAACTGCATCAGCAGAATGACACAGAAAGCCCAAATTCAAAAAGACAGAACATCTGAATAAAAACATTTGAACAAAAATGAACACAACTGGTTTTCTGAACAGGAATGTTTTAAGGAAGACAGATCTTGATGATGTTATTTTTAAGCACAAACCTCGGAATCCATCACAACTTACATACTACATGTGTCTCTGATTTACACTGCCTCTGTAAGCCACAAGGTGTCAGCCCTGGGAAAAGCAGGAGCACAAGGTAGCTGCTCCAAAATGAGTCAACTGGCACTCATAAGGAAGAAGGAATGGCAGGTTTTGTTTTTGGTCACAGGCTACCTACTTGATTCAAGCCTTGTTTTTGATAAGTAGGAGCATGATTTCCACTTCAAATCCTTGCATTTCTCTAAGTCCACAACAGGTAGCCTCATATCATTCAGACAAAATGCATGTTTAATTTCTTACAATACTGGGACCGAGAGAGAAATCATACCCTTATTCTTACAACCTACATTTATTGATGCCTCTCATTTAAAAATTCATCTTCTTTCTCAACAGAAGCACAGTCTCCTCTACAGTGGAAGGTAGCACCTGTGTGACAAGTCAGATCAGCACAATACTACCCTATACTCCTACCAAAGCTTAAGGAAGTCACCCCTTGCTTAAGCAAACACAAACTTCTGCACAACTTAGTAATTTTTGTCTCCTTACTTGTTTTCCAGCCAAATATTCCATTAAAGCAGAAAATTCAGTTTATCAGTCAGTTTTGATTTTACCTCTACTTGATATTTTTGTCTGGGCCACTCAAGAGCTGGGAGACTCTCCTTTAACTCAGGCAAGCCATCAGTAGAGCATCCTTAGCCTCAGTAGGGACACAAATAAGGGGCTCTGTCTTCCAGTAAAAAAATCCTGTTTCTCTTTCCCTTGATGACTCCCCTCCACATCCAGGAGGTTTTCTAATTGGATTTCACCTCAGTAAGACTCAGGACTTGCCACAGGAAGAAGCAATTGTACTGGGGGCTACACTTCTTGCTGCTGTCGGGTCCCTAATGCTCTTCTCACCTGAAGCATGTAGCTGTGATAATCCTTAATGCGGTGCTGCCAGAACTTCTGCAGAGAGAGCACGCTGCCAATGCCCACTTCATGGAAGACCTGCTCCATGACATCAGGGAAAGGGGTGTGCCCAAGTCGAGCTTCTCGGTCCACAGCAAAGCGCAGCAGTTTGGTGAACTTCAAGCAGTACTCGTGGGCAATGTCTGTCAGGGTCTCCAGAACACTCTCATTGGCACACTCAAAGCCTGTGTGAGCCAGGATGGTGGCCATTGACTGGTAGAGAAGTTGCCGGCAGGAGGACCAACTCAGCTCAGTCACTGGCTCCCCTTTTCCTCTAAAAACCAGGAAAGACAAAAATAGCACACTTTCAAAAATTGAAAGGAGTAGATAAGTTGAAAAGATATTGTCAATAATAAGTGATGGACAAAGCGAAAGCAGAGAGTTTGGGGTTCTCCACAACTTCTCCACTGCATATGAACACTACCTAGTAAAGGTTTATCTGCTTTTCCTTCTTCCCCTCCCTCCAAATCAGCACTTCCAATTTTCATTTCCCCTTTTAATGCTGCAAGAGTCCTTGGGTCATTCATGAATGTGGGATGCAAATCTTCTGAAACCTTAAGCAACTCTCTTCTCACCCAAGAGCTTTTCTCCTGGAGAAATGAATTAAATGGGTTCTGGACACAAACAAAAAGGGCATTGTAAATAACTTGAATGCAAATCATTTCCCCTCTCAGTTAATTACATTTCTTTTCCTTATTACCTCTAATGTCACAGACCTAATACTGAGATACAAAGGCTTCTGGAATAGACAAGATTGGAATTTCTAATGCAAAAGACATATATAAAAAAGCAAGAAATGGGATACACATACATTTCATAAAGATACACTGTAGCCAAAGATACTGTTTCCCTGTCCTCATTCCCAGCAGTCGCTAAGAACAACACTGAAAGAAGTATCCCTGTATATAACCTAAGATGCAAACACAAGACCCTGGGAGGAGGCCTGGAGAGGTTCTGCCATAAAGCCGCATTCTCTGGCCTTGCGTTTGAGACCTCTGTTCTCTTCTCTGTGTTGCTAAGTGGGAAGCAGTGACCACACAGGGTGGCGGACATGGAGAACAACTGACATGAGCACTTCAAACAACATTTACAGTCAGCTACCCAAACTTTTCATCAACATGAGTTAACAAACAGAAGTTTTACACAGGAAAAAGAGGAGTTAAGACAAGGCCTCTGATTGGGAAACATGTATCTACCAGATTTCTCAAGTCACAATTAAGTGCATGTAATCTATTTGCCCATATCAGTAACATGGACTTCAAATGCTGATGTCAAAAAATCAACTTCCTTTCTGCCAAGTATGGTATTTATATACTTTTTTTTACACTTCATTCACCACCAAAGGCATAATTAAGCTGAGAATTTCACTCTCATTTGTTTCTGATCTATTTGTCCACCTTGAGATTCCCCTCGTTCTCACCCTACATCACTTGCATATCACCAGACACTCTTTCCAGTAACAGGACCTGATTAAATCAGTACACAAATGGTACTGATGCCTTGATAAAAGTCTCTCCAACAACTACACTAGGTACCCTTCAGTCTCACTGAGAAGCTGGGCCACAGTCTCAGGTTTCCCTGACCCTCAGAACTGACCCATAGAAAACCACTGAAACACAGCAGTAAAAAAGATAACATTTCAGAGGAGTGAAAATGGAAGGTGACACTTAGAGCTATCAGGAACAAAATCATTCATTTTCAAGAACACCAGCTCAGCACTTTCTGATTATTCAAATAAAGGGGGGAACCACACTGTAATAGAAGTTGTATATGATCATATTTCTGAGCAGATATTAAGAACAACATGTGGATCTCAGGTCATGGATTCATCCCAGCTATTAATTGATGGAAAATGACTCAAATCTCAATTCCTTCTCAATTATGTAACTACTATGCTAAGAAGACAGCAGGCACCCTGACAAGATGAATTAAAAGATCATCAGTTCCTTTATAAATCAGCTGTCACATCTCCCTCACTCCCCCTTCCACCTCAGCCACAGATTTCTGAAGTTCAGAAGCAGCCATATGTCTCACACAACACCAGGACCGGGAGGTTACAACAGAAATAAACAAGTACCAAGGAAAACAACCCTCAAAATTTATGCCTATAAAAAAGAATCTCTTTTTCTTTAGTGCATATAAAAAACATATCCAGCTGTATGGCAGCCATCAGTTGAGAGCATCTCATGCTACCAAACCCACTGAACAACCAGGCTACTGTTAATACAGAGACACTGTGGGCAAAAAAATCAGACACAGATTTCGGCAAGTGTAGGCAGGATGCTTAGCCACTTGCAAAATAGAATACAACAACCATTTGGCAATGCATATCACTGCTCAGAAGCAGCAGAGAATATTACATCTCTTTTAAACTCCTGGAGGAAAAGAAACCAATTGTGAGTATTAAAATGCAGTGAGGTCACTATGCTGAAGGGCATATAATCAACCTGAAATCCAATCAATTAAAGACAGAGAGAAAAGAAATTTCAGGTACTGTATTCAAATCCAAATCGCCACCTCTTGCTCTTGGAAAGGTCAATCAATTTTGGTTTTCTTATTTTTTCTTCTCTTGTTTTCCTGTTTCCCACAATAAACAACAGAGGTATATGATTAAAGGCCAGAACAAAGAGCAATAATTGAAATGTAGATGTTAACGGAAACCAACAAATGAGAAAATAATTTTTCTTCATCTCCTTTAACTTCCAGATACTTTCTGGTAAGAATGCTCATGAACAAAAAGAGCCATATGGACACATTTATGTTGAGAACAGCTATCTAATGTCAAGTCTTCCCAAAAAGGACAAGCAAACGTCTTCTTTTCCCTGATGATCATACCTAAAGAGCCTTGGTTTTAGATCTCACCCAGCACCTACAAAAGCACCCTGTCAGGTACTATGACTATGCAGAATGCCACCCTCAGCAGCACTTAGTTCTTTTCCTGAAAGGCTCTCCATTCAGCAACCATCCAAAGCCAAACCTACTTAATAAATTAGCAGGGTCCTATAGCTACAAGTAAACAAAAGTGCTTTCATACCTCAAGCTTCATCACCATGGATTAACAGGACAGGAAATTAGGTCGGTGACTTGGAGGTGATCTCTACAGAATATATAGTATGAAATTTATCACATATACTGGCCAATTTCCCACTCTTCATTTTTGCATTTCTAAGAGTTCTATATTTTTATATATGGATCACCAACACTAGATAATGTTCCAGACAAAAATCTCCCTGCCAAGCTATGAATTCATTAGACCCAAAGCCCAACCTTCTCCCACTTCTACCAGCAACGTGCAGAAAATCACAACAGAAGACAGGAAAATAGTGTCCATTTATACAAACCAGACTTATTTTCAGAATTAGTAAGTTTCCAAAACTCAGAAAAGGCTCATTTTGTATGTCAGTCAGTTAAATGACAACAAGCCACCCCACAAAGGCAGCAGAATCCATTCACCCAGGTTCATCTCCTGTTAGGCTGTTTTTCTCAGAGAGAAGGGGAGCTCATGGTTAATTTCCCATGCAACTATCTTCAGGGGACAGTGTTTGGGCTAAGGCAAGGATTGCTAGCCAAGGTTCACTCAACTGCAGTATGGGATTGAAGTGCTCTGCTCCCTTCTAGGTGAGCATACGCCAGCAGCAGATGGAGGGAGGGACTGTTTTTCCTATGAACACGACAATTTCATGAAACATTACACTGTGGAGTTGGATTTATACCAAATGAGGTACAACAAGGCTGCTTCAGAGCCATCCTCTCCAAAGCAGTAAAATGAAGGAGAACATTGGAAAAACAAGATTATACCAGTCAGAGAGTGCATCAAAGAATACAGCACACTAGCTCAAATGAGCAAGTTGTTTCCTTTCGGAAAAGAGCCTCATTACATCTCATCCTGACTAAATCTCTTTTTAAATACCTATCCTACGTCTACAGGAAGCTGCAAAGGTGTGAAAAGAAACTGCTCAATAGATAATGGCAAAAATAAATTGTATCCCAGTGGCATAACCAGAACACCAGTTGGTTTAGAATCAGACTAAGCCAAAGTGCTTAGTTCATCAGTGGAAGTGTGTTCTCTCTGCTTTAATTTCCACTGCTTCAAATCCTTCCCAGCATTAAACCTGCTATCTCACCGACACATGGTCCTTTACTTCTGTACAGATATTTCTTAACTACAAGTCCTTCTATCATGAACTGTCTTCACACTGCAAGTTGCCAATTTTGTTTACAGATTATCTTTCAATGCAAAGCACACATCCAATGTGGTCAGGAATGCAAATGACAGATTGACTGAGAAATCTGTTACAAAACCAACCATGTACACACAAGAAAAAGCATCTGAAGAGGTACACGAGTAGGTTAGGTTTGTTTTAAAGATGTATCCATGCTAATTTGAGGAAGCTGAACAGAGAAGAAGGAAAAGCTAGCAGTTGTATTATGGTAGGAGTCTCCTGTTGAAATGATAGTTTTAAGTCTCCAGTTCCTTACTCATTCTTCATCAATTATGCTTTAAGCTTACTTTCTGTTTCTACACCAACCAAAACCAAACATTAATCCCTTATTGTGCATCCCAAGAACTGTAACATCAACACTTGCAAATCACCAGGACCAGATGGTAGTTCATCCAGGAATACTAAAGGAATTCCAAGGATGAAATAGCTGAATAGCTGTGGTGAGTCACCTCTTGCTTCAAACTGTGTTGGTCCATGAGGACCAGAAGACAAGGAAATGTGAAAACATTTTCTTTTAATAGCCTCAGAACAGATGTGAAGAACTGCAGGCTGGCAAGCCCCATATTTTTGGTGCATCAGGAAAATTCAAAGAATCAGAGGAAACAAAGGTAAATATGTTATGCTCAGAAAGAATTCAGAGAGCTTTTGTAACTGGAAAACCCACTTCACAAACCCAGACTCCTCCAAATCAATCAACAAGCAAGTATGTCCACTCCACTGTGGAGTCCAGGTCTTCCCTTGGGGATCTGTGTCAGAATCAAAGTTTGTTTCAACATATTTATAAACAGTCTAGAAAACTGTAGGTGAGAAATAGCATCATGATTATAAAAATGCTGGTAGTACAGATTTTGGAGGGTTGAAAAGACCAAACCAACTGAAAAATAGTAGTAAATTAGGTTCTGCCTCTTCCTCATGCTAGGAGAACGTAGGGGTTACAGGTATGGGGCGGGGCAGAGGAAAACCAAAATTATTCCTGGGCATAACAAAATCAAAGACAAGGGGGCAGCATGTCAAAGGATGAAAATGAATAACAAGGAAATAGAAGAGAACACATCTATGCTAAAGAAACCTGTGGTCTGATTCAGGCTGGCTACTCTTATCTTCCTTTCTTCCTGTGTCTAAATGTACCTATACATTGTTTCTCAGACCCAGGTTACTGCCAAAAAAATGAAATTAAAATATGGATTTAGTTGAATACTGTAAGTCTGACAACTGTACTTCAGAAGGCAGTATAAAATTAAGTGCTACCATGTTTTATGAGGGGGAAGAATGTTCTTCCTTTAATTTGATTTTACAGACTAAGAAGCATCAGCAAATCACAGAACTTCATTTTTGCTTCTAGAACAGCACCTGCTGTTCTTAATTTATGTGTCTTAAAACAGCTAAGAACAAACATGCAACAACAAACTCAAAGCTTTCCTTCTGGAAAAGCATAAATGTGTTTGGTTTAGCAAGCACACAATTAAAATCTAGAATACACTGCAGCTCATTATAAATCCACTCTGTCAGCCACAAAACATTTCTCTCTCCAGTTTTCACAACGTAGTCCTTAAACTCCCCCACGTGGCTGACGACTAAATAACATTTCTTTACCCAGACTCCAGAGACTCGAAAGGAACAACAAAAAGACAAAGCAGCCTCCAAAACATGGCCAGAGCCACAGAAAACTGAACTTCAAGCTGAAACCACCGGGGAGGACAGAACAGAGAACTACTCAGTTTTACAAACCACAGAGCAGGAGTCACAGGGCCTTGACTTTATTCCCACAGGACAGTATTTCCCTTCATCCCTCTCAGCTAGTTACTTTGTATCTTTCCAGAGGGATGAAGGTGTTCCTCCACAAACAGTATTAAGAAATCACTCTACTGTCCAGAGGAACTATGTTACCAAATGCAACATCTTTCAATAAAATGCATTTTATACAACCTCAGGCCGTTGAATATCTCAGTGGCATTTAACTGATCAGTTATATTTTGTTGATGCACATTTACCCATTTCAAAAACTAAAATGTATTATATTCTCCCACATCATGTTCATTAGTGCACAGTCTTTCATTTAAGAACAGGAAGTTGTAGCTGTGAGAATTAATCCCATAATTTAAATGCACATAACCCACAAAGTATTGTGAGATCCTGCAAGAAATGCAACACCTCCTTGTGAATTTAGTGCTTGTCAGAGGGGTAGATAGGGAGGTGGTGGCAACACTATTTAATCAAAGACTAGCTGCAGAGGAAGAAGCAACACAACTTTCCATTTTCTCCAGCCCTTGGCTGGCACAGCCAGTACCAGAGGCAAGAATTCCCTTCACCCATTCTCATTTCCACCTCTGACCAGAAGACCAACAAGTAGAGTGAAACGTGATAGTTACTATGCCATAGGTCCTTAGCCACTGAAATCTTACAAATATACTACCATGTCATCTTTGCAGACCCTACAGCTAAACAGCCAAAACCTCCTCATGCATCTTCCGGGTTTTCAATTATAAAAACATAACTTAGTTGTAAGTGACCAAAGTAGAAGAGACTTCACATCCTGTAACTAAACTTGTCAAAATACCACTAGGATAGCAAAACCATTCACACACATTTAATGTAGCACTAACAGGACAGAAATCAGCACTACATATCCACATTTTATTGATAGGAAACAAAAGCACATTTATTTTAAACAACACGTGTGTTACTCACACAGGAAAAAGCTAAATATTTCCTTTCTGAAGCCCGTTTTATAATTTATATACAACTGTTTGACCCTTCAGCCTAGAGGAAGCAACATTGCATATATATTTAAAAACACTCAGCTTTCCTTCAGCCAAAAACTAACCCAAAGAAACACCAACACACCTGTAGAAATCACTCTCTGGGTCACTGTGCCTCAGCTGAAATGGCATTTTGGGCGTTTTGCTATCCAGAGGAAGCAGGTCATCCGGGAGAGGTGGAGAGGCTGGACAAGATGGCAGAGGTTCGTTCTCCTCAGTTTTTATGCCCTCTGCCTGCTGCTGGTTCTGAGCCTGAGCCGTGGCGATGAGGCTGCGCAGCCGCCGGTTGTGTTGGATGAGCTGGATGGTGTGGATAGTGAGGCTGCAGGGCTCAGAGGGGATGTCCAGCATGGTGGTGGGCCGGGGCTTATTCGCAGATGGCTGGTGCAGTGGAGGATCCTGGACTTCCACGGTACGGAACTCGCGCTGCAGCAGGTCAAAGGAGCTGCGGTTGGCCTGGTTGGAGGAAACCGGGATCTCACCCCAGTATCGCAGCATTTCTGCACAAGTCACACGTTGTCCTCAGAGCCCAGGAGAAGGCTACCTTATACTGTGGTACAAAGGCGCCTTGTCGCAGGGAAAAGCACTTAGGTCAGCAACAAGAACTGGAGCTGGGATGACACTCCTAAACAGATTACGGCTGTCAGGCAGGCTGTCGCTCAGTGCCTCGCTGAGCAGCGCGGTGTCCTCAGCAGCATCAGGTCGCCACTCCGGCATTTAACAGATCCCTTCTCCTGAGGGGGGAACAAACAAACGCACTCGTGAGGCGAGAATTACTTCTGTCTTTAACAGAGGCTGGTGTGGGTCCACCTGGGCCTCGCCGAGCGGGGCCCGTGGCGAGTCTTGGTTTGCGTGGAGAAACTCCGGGGGCCGCA